GTGGCCTGGTGATGAATCGAAAACCGGAGCCCTCCCTGCCGCGAAATATCAGACAAGATGCTCGAGCTTTCCATTCGACGCGTTTTAAACGATCGCGCCACAAGTCCGCGAATAAATATGCGTTTACGGGCAACGTAACGCGTGGAGAATTATGGAGAAAGGGTAATTAATGAGAGATCGTGTCTGTCGACGCTCGATGAAACTCGAAAGACGAGCGTAAATTCTTTTTTCTTTTTTTTTTTTTTTCCCAACCCCTTCCAGCATTTCACATCTCTCGCTCTTCTCGCTTTCGACAGCGCCCTGTTTCGATGATGAATATATACCACGAATCGTATTCTTCTTTCTTCTTCCATCTGTGATAACGGATCCCTTTCATTGGCTCGCGGGATTTCAACCTTTGGAAACGGAGGGATGAAATGGAATCAAACGTTGCGTAGAAATTTACATATTCGTCGATTTGCGGTAATGCAGAGATTGACGGGAGAATCTTTCCCGCGATACGGAATTGCGGAAGGTAATATTGTTCGGTGATGGAGCTTTTTGGGGGAGGTAAGATCGTTCCCGTGTTGTGATTAAGAATAAAATCAGTTTTGAAGCGAAAGTAGTATAGAAGTTCATGGTGTTGCTTTTATATTATTTTTATGAAGATTCTGTAATCGTTGAAAAATGTTGTTATTATATTTTAATATATGATTTTATATGTTTATAATATTCATTAAACGATATACAAGGAATTATAATTCAATTATATTTTATCGTTTAAGAGTTATTTCACAATCGATGAAGAATAAAAACAGAATTAATTAATATATATGAATTTCTTACTTTCTGATTGTTATATAAAAAAAACAACAAATTATTTTCAATCTCTCTGTTACATTATTTCCAATATATAATTCATCTTGCTAAAAACTTATTTTAATGACCGCATTAAATTCATCCTCGCATACAGTAATTTTTCAAAATGTCGAAACCTCGATCGATATCCAAACGAAATCGGTATCATCCTCTTTCCACCAAAGTTGCTCCAGTGAATCTTTTCGCGAAATCAATCCGGATCCCATCACAATGTCTCTCCCCGATCGAGGCGTTTACACGCGGTTCCCTGGTTCACGCTCGATTCAACGGCAATCACCAGGCTTGACCAGGAAAAGCGTGAATTAAACGAACGTAACGGAGAGACGATAAAAAGAAACTGTCCAATCGCGGGGGGGGAGGGAGGAGGGAGGAAAAGGGGGTTCGGCGCAACCCCCTCCTCGCGATCACCACGTGTGTGGATCGCAAGGGCGGCCCTCCGTTGGGCGCGCGTACGTATTCCACGCGGCCCGTATTAGTGAAATCTGCTCGGTCGCGCGAAATATAGTCGGCTGGCCTAGTACCTGGTGGATGCTATACGTCGAAAGCGTTCTCTGACGGCCACCAACACATTCCCCGGTGTGCACCATCGCTTACACACACATACGGAGCGAGCGGTGCCATTAACGCTGCGATCGAGTCGTAAAGCACCCCACACACCCGCGGGCACCGATCCGCGCACACGCGCCCCTTCCACGTACGTACGTGTGTGTACGCGAAGGGAACTAAAGTTCCACGTTGCACGATGGAGCATTGCCCCTCGCGTCACATACACTCGCGCCGTGAAACCGGGAGCGGGACGAGGACAGCCGACAGAGAGAGAGAGAGGACGTTTGGAGAGGGTGAAGGCGGAGGAAAAGGGGTGCGCGTATATAGGGGTTACGTATGGGTGTGCCGGTTGCGGACTTGTGCCGGTTGCGGACTTGTACTGGTTCTATGTGTATATGTATAATTCGAGCACGTATATAATGTATATATGTATATTGTACGTATATACAGGTGGTATGTGTATATATATTATATATGTATTATATATATATATATATATATAGTAGCCAAGTTAACACGTACGACAACCCTCCCCTATTTTCCCCCGAAGAGGGGAGCTCTGCGAGCATCCCCACCAGCTTGAAATGTACTTGTGCCACCCCTTTGGCCCACCCTTCTCTGCTGCTCGCTGTCTCGTTCATCCTGCTATTCCTGTCTCTGTTCACCGGTAACTATATAGATCGGTCGTTCTCGTCTAGCTCGGGGAATATCGGGGAACGTCGTCCTCGTCGCTCCCCGCGTTATCCAACCCTCCTGGCCAGCAGTTTCAATTTGTTATTTTTACATCATTTTATCCCCTCCCCCCTCTCCTCCCTTCCTAACCATAGACCACCAGCCACCCCCTCGGCTTGGAATCTTCTCTTTTCGTCCATCTCTCTTTCGTTTCACCTCGTCCCTCCCTCCCTCTCTTTCTATTTCGATCTCTGTCTCTTTTTCTCGGTTTCCACCCTTGCCGTTTGCGCGCACACACCCCACTGTCTTTCTCTGTTTTTCTCTCCCGACGATTGCCGCGTCTCCGTCGCTTTTCAGACCCCTTTTCTCCGTCCTTCTCACCCTCCCACCCCTGTTCCACGATGTCCCTGACAAGAGAGAGTAGTCGGAGGGACGCGCTTTAATTGTGTAGTTATTATGTTTTCTGGAAGTTTTAATTATGTCGGCCAGCGTAGATCGTCGACACTTTACGCGCTTCGTCAATGGGCTGATTATGAAAAACTTTCACGCACATAGAATTTTCGAAAAAATGCGATGCCTGGTTTTGGAAGCGCGGATCGATAAATATTTTAAGATGATGCGTTTATGGCTACGTTTTGTCCGTTCATTCGCTTTATACTTTTTTTTTTCTTAGATAAATAAATACGATTTTATCAATCGCGCAGCTCTGATCAAAAATAAGAATTCGGTTGAACAGAGGGATTCAACAATTCAATATGATTCCCCAAAGAATATCGCATTTAAATGTTGGAATAAATGCTTTCCAAAAATAATGCAATATATAGAATTTAATGTAGAATCTCTGATTTTTCATCAAGTATTCTATTCTTAAAAATTTCCAATTTCTATATCTTTTCTATTATCTCGAATTATCTTCACAATCCTCTAATCTCAATGATAATATTTCGCTGTATTTCTAATGGGATGCAATTTCTTTGTAAAAATAATAATTGATACCACGCGAATTTGTCGTGTACATAGAATCATTCCAGGGAGAGACCTTATCTGGGGTCGAGTCTACAGTTTTTCAAAAAGGAGAAATATCGAGAAAAGAGAGTAGAAAAACAGGAGAGAAGGATAAAAAAGTCCGTAGAAATCCAATAGGCACCACCACCCCCTTCCATCCCTTAGAACACCTTAGGCAGCAGCAACCCTTACCGTACAGCCTCGAGCGAGCGAGCGAGCAAACGAGGGTGGGTTGCGCGCGCACGTATCGATCCATGGCCAGCAATCGATCGATCTATATATATACATGTATATATAACCCGACGTATACGTGCATATATATACGCGACTACACACGAACGTCTACGGGTCAGAAACGTGGCATGTGCGTGTGCGTATGTATATGTACATGTATGCACAGTGGTTCGAGCGTGTCACGTATATATCGTTGGTTCGATCGATAGTTGGTGCTCAGTCGCATGGTAGGTGCTAAAGGACGAAGCCAGCACGACCTACGCAAGGTCTTTCGAACACGTCCATTGGAATCATCAATCCTCTCGATCTTATTCCGATCGTCCCATGGTGAATCGTAACAGCCGAAGGCCTCGCCACAGCTATCCCCTCCTCTTTTCCTTCCCTCTTTTCCTCTTTACTCTAGTTCTTTCATCGCGAAGCACTCGCTCGTTCCGTCGCCGCGAATTTTTCATCATTCCTTTCTATCGTGTACGTACGGTGCTCCGTATTGTATTCTCTTTGCAAGATTCTTCTTGATCTTTTTTTTTCCTTCCTTTTTTCCCCCTTTTCATCGGATTCCATTGTTCCCCTAATCCCGTCCACCTCTCGTTCTCCCTCTCTTTCCTCATTTTCCGACCTTCCGTTTATCCCGATGCTCCGCCACTTTGCTGAATTTTACATGTTCCCTCTCGGACGCGCTTCTTTTTTCTCTCCCTTTACCTACTCTCCTTCGGACAAACTTTTTGCCCGGCGCTCCGTTCGTCCTTCCGGTTCTCCATTCCCGTTCTCGCTTTAATCTTTCCTCCATCGATTTCTCTCGCTCGCTCTCACGCACCAGTTTTCTCCCGTGCAGTTTTTCTAGCCGCTTCTCTTTGATTCTCGTGTCTTTTTCCGGCGCGGCCTTTCGACAGACATTCGTAGGCTTCTATCATTTTGCTCTTCCCATTCCCTATATTTCGCGCGTCCCTTTATACGTTGTCCTACTCCACGAAAATATTTCCTCCTTTTATTTTTTCATCATTCCTGCGTTTCTTTTTATGGATCCTAACAGTATTTCTTCCCTTTGTCCTTCGTTCGTCCTCGACGCACACGAGGGACAAGATTTCAAGCGTGGGTGTAGTCGCGCGTTAGAAGCGCTTTCTATAAGGACGCCGAC